ATGTAGTGAAGTGAAATCAAAAGACACTTGCTCTTTGGAAGAAAAGATATGACAAACCTAGACAACATATTAAAAGATAGGGAGATTGCTTTACCAACAAAGGTCCATCTAGTCAAAGCTACGGTTTTTCCATTAGTTGTATGGATGTGAGAGTTGGACCGTAAAGAAAGCTGAGCACTGAAGAAATGATGCTTCTGAACTGTAGTGTTAGGGAAGACTCTTGAGAGTCTCTTGGATAGTACGGAGATCAAACCAGTCAATAATAAAGGAAATCAGTCCTGAATATTTATTGGAAGGACTAATCCTGAAGCTGAAACTCCAGTACTTTGGAAAAGACCCTGATGCTGGGAAAGATTGAAGGCAGGAGGAGAAGGGGACAACAGGGTGAGATGGTTGGATGGCATCACTGACGGGATGGACAGGAGTTTGAGCAAGCTCCAGGAGTTGGTGATGGACAGAGAAGTCTTGCATGCTCCAGTCCATGGGGTCACAAAGAGTTGGACGTGACTGAGTGACTGATCTGAATAGTGAAGTGAAAGTCGCTCAGCTGTGTCCAACTCTATGCGACCCCATGAACCTGCCAGTCTCCTCTGTTCAAGGAATTCTCCAGGCAAGAATGCTGGAGTGGTTTGCCATTCCCTTCTCCAGGGGATCTTCCCAACCCAGGGATCAAACCCAAGTCTCCCACATTGCAGGCAGATTCTTTACCAGCTGAGCTACCAGGGAATCACCTCATATAGATAAACCCCAATTGGCTAAGTGATGTGCTGAAGGTCATATGTCTCATTAGGGTTTGAACTTGTCTTCCAATTTAAAGCCTGTTTCTGACCTTATCTCTGCTCATCTCTTTTGAACTTCTGATGCTGTTTTCCGTCCCTTCCTTCTTTGCTTTTGTCTTTTATCTCAGCATCTGTTACAGTTGATTCTCATTCTTTGAACTTGCTTACTTACTTGCTTACACTGATTTGAGACCCCCACAAACTCAGGGCATTTCCACACTAATCTCCAGACATGGGCAGAGCAAGGAAAAATGCGAATCTCCTGATGCACCAGTTTCCAACTGAGGTCAAACAAGGCAACACTGCCTTCTTGTTTCAGCTTTTCTACTGTAAACATGTTTTTTTTTGCGGTCTCTTTAGAACCATGTTTGTCAACTTTTTGTTCTTTTGGTTGGTAATTTTGTTGTTTAAAATGGCCCTCCAGCATAGAGCTGAAAGTCTGTCTTGTGGTCTTGAGTACAGGATGGCTCTGACATGCCTAATGGGGAAAACGTGTGTTCAATATGCTTCCTTCAGTCCTGGGCTGTAGTGCTGCTGGCTGTGAGTTCAGTGTGAATGAATCAACCATATACATTAAGTAAGGTGTCTTTAAACAAAGCCACACACAAGACAAGTTTGGGATTATGAGTTGAAAATGTGATCTGGGTCCTGCATTTCGCGTAGGAGCAGCGGTTCAGTGTTCACTCACTCAGAGTTCACGATGTCTTGGTGGAGCAGAACTGCTGTCAATAAGGAGAATAAACTCTGTTCTACTCTCTGCAGGTTTCCCTCCTTTCTCTTTCAGGCTTTGTCTCAGTCTCCTCTGGCCTCCTCCTCCTACCCCAGAAATCATCATGACCCAGTTTTGACCCTCTTCCTTGGGCTCTGCCAGCCTCCATGCCAACAGCCCCACATTCTGGCCTGTAACACCTTCCCAGTCATCCTCCCACATGGAGGTCAAAATCCTGCCCCTTGAGTCATAGACTCACAGGATCAGTTGATCCAGTGTGTTTACTCTGTTCCAGGACACATGCCAAGAGCAAGACCAACAAACTCCATGTCCTCTGGGGATTATTGAGAAAGACAGACAATGACAAAAAGAACAATAAATGCAATCGGTATGACCAACGTCAAAACATGGGTGTCACGAGGCCATATAATTGGGAACTTTAATTCTGACTGGGGGGATTGGTTAGAGGAAGTGACATTTAGACTGGGAACAGAAGATGGAGTAGGAGTTTATCAGCCCAAGAGAATGAGGAAAGTGAACAGGAAGGCAGGTGTGGTTAGAAACAGGGCTTTTGCTCTAAGGTGTATATTTGGGCCCAGAACTGAGTTACTGGCGGCAGTCAGGAAGCAGCTAAACCCTGTCAGTAACCTCTCCTTGGCCCACCCACCATGTGATGCTCTGGCTCCACCCTAAGAATATTTACCAAAAGTCTTAAAACATCAGTTTGAAGAGGTACTGTCAAATTACTCTTGTGTTTAGGGGCACCAAATTATTTGCCTTGGTAATGATCACATGTATGGGGACTTGGTGTAAAATAAGACTGAATGAGGAAGCTGATACTTTCCTGGGCTATAGGTGCTGGACTATCTTGAATGCCATCTTTGGTTGGTGCAATAATTCAAAACCAGTATCTTCTCCTTAAAATGTTTGTTTTTTTTTTTTTTGAAGAGAGATCCCGATTGGCTGAAATCTTATTTCAAGCTCAATTGATAATTTTTATTTCAAGCCAAATTAATAATTTTCCTCAAATTCTTGGTTTATTTTACTTCATGAGATGATAGTTTGATAAGATAATTGATGATATAGTCAAAGACTGAGGATCTTGTGGAACCTAGGTCTCTTGGTGGAAGCAGAAGATGGAAGCAAATGTGCAGAATTTAATTCCTAAGTAGACCATGGATGGACAGAGGAGCCTAGCAAGGTCACATGCTATTTAGTGACTAAATAGCAATAAATATTCCCAGAACATCATGGGTGTTCTATAAATATTTGTTGAATGAATGCATGAACCTAGGAGATCCTATGACAGTAAAGATTCAAAGTACCAAGTCAAAGATGGAGCTAGGGCTTGTGTCTAGAACCACTTAGAAGGCAGCTGCTATAGAGTTTGATTATGTTTCTGGGGTGGGGCTTAGACTTTAGAATTTTATCAAAGAATATGCTAAATGGACTATAAGAATTTTTATCTTTTAGCCACAACTGAACTGAAACAAAAGGGGTGTTTCATTGGCTCCTATAAGTGCAACGTGTAAAGAGAATAGTTGAGGTGGATCTAGGACTCTGCATCTCATTCTCCTTCCTTCCTCCTGACTCTGGTGTCCTCTGTGGTGACCTTGCTCTGAGGCACTGGCCTCTTCTCTCTCGGAAGTGGACCCAGCCCCTCTAGGCTGACACCACAATCTGGCTAGAGGTTCTATCTCTTTTCAACAGAATCAACAAAAGTTCTTTCACTGAGTCTCATTGGCTCTGATCAGGAAATGGGCCCATCTCTCAGCCAATCGCTGTGGCCAGGGAAATGAGACACTCTAATTGGCCAGGCCTGGTCACATGCCCACCTCTGAAGGTAGGAGGGGTGGAGTGTCCTCTTACTTGAACCTGCAGACTGAGAGGGGAGAAGGGGGCTTTACTGGAAGAATGGGAATGCGTATGGAACCCTGGAACAGCAAATGTCAACCGAGGGGATATCTCATTGCCTAGTATGTTGCAGTCTCTTGAAAATGTGTTGTTGTTATAGCAGAGACTTTGCTTTCTAAATGAGAATCTGTTATGTTGATAATTTCCAACTATCCAATGGGATTGTTTGTCAGCACCAGTATTAGGTACTTTATACATAGCATTTCACTTACCTCTCCACCATACCCTTCAAAGAGTTGCTTGTTATTAGCCCATGTCCTGACTGCAGAGGCTGAGAGGTTTACTAAATTGCCTGAGGCCACTCAGCCAATGGCAGAGCAAAGCTGTCTACTTACCTCCGTCCCTTTCCAAAGCCTATTCTTTCCCTTCATCAGCACTTAACCCTGAAACAATGATGCCTCTGTAGCCAGGTCTTACGTGGTGTTCTTTTCACAGTTCCTACGCCATTGTAGACCCTCTGGGCTTTTCATTCTTAAGCAAAAATTGGTCTTTCCCCCCTACCCATTGCCCATCACTCCATGGAACATAACAGTGACCTTGCTTTAATGTCTTTGGAAGAGCTACAACTCTGAAAGGGCAAGAGGGACCTAGTTTGGAGCCTGAAGATGATCCATAATTATAAGGTAAACAGTCTTGCCTTGTCCCAGACATTGTGTACCCTGTTAGGAAACAGGCCGGCAGCCCAGAGAACAGTCACGGGTCTTTGAAGTCAAGCTTTGTTTGGTTTTCATTTTTTTGCTGTTCAGAACACAGCTCACTGTTAGCTGGTTTTCAAAAGAACCTTTTGAACTAATGAAACTCAGATAATAGAGTGTCACCTGGGAGTATATTGGAATCCAGAAGCCTGGGCTCTCCCCTGCCCCACGGGTTCAGGATATGAGGGGTAGGTCCAACATATGTACTTTAGCAAGCTCTCCATAGTTTTGCTACATCATAGCAACAGATGCTGGGTGAGCAGATCTTACACCTAGCATGCATTTAAGTATCCTTATAACATCCTGGGGGAAGAAATACCAAATCCAGCAAGTTTATGCCCACTCAACAAGGGATCTCAAACTCATGGTGCATATAGTAAATCCACTTGAACCCACAGGTATGGTTGCTTTAGTTGACAATACAAAACATTCCTGTTTTACTTGAGCTTGGATGAGTTTGTTCAGAAAGAGGGTGTATTCTTCACTTGTCTCAGCCCCCACCCTCCTGTTATCTATCCCTGCTACACATTTACACATTTATGTTATAGGCTTCTGAAGGTAAGTGCATTTCCACACTGAGTAAAGAGTAGGAGACAGGAGAGCAGAAAAAAGAAAAGCCCAGTGGTTTTCCAAAATGAGAAGAAATCCTCGGTGCACTGGGTAAGGTTGCAAGCCTCTGTCCTTGCTTAACCAAGTCACGTGAATGTTTCCTATGTCAAGAAGTGGAATTTTCCTCTTTCAAATAACTTATGAAATAGGAAATCCACTGTCATCTGGGGTGGCAGCTCATAGACTCTGGACCCATGGACTCAGAGCTCCAGAAAAGGAGCTCTGCCCAAGCTCCTTCACCCTCTCCTCTGCACCTGCCCTGCTGCTGACAAATATTTCATGTCTGTTTCCTAGCGGGCAGCCCATTCCTCAAGTGGAATACACGGAGGAAGAAAAGAAAACATGGGGGACGGTGTTCAGGACCCTGAAGTCCTTGTATAAGACCCATGCTTGCTATGAGCACAACCACATTTTCCCCCTTCTGGAAAAGTATTGCGGCTTCCGCGAAGATAACATTCCCCAGCTCGAAGAGGTTTCTCAGTTTCTGCAGAGTAAGTGCACATCCGGGTCAAAAGGTCGGGGGCTGGGGATGGAAAGGGGCAGAGAAGGAAATTTAGGCAAGTGTGAGTGTGTGCATGCTGATACAGGCAGGTTGATTCTTCCAGGAAGATGAGTATTTCACTGCTGGGCTCTGCCTCCCTACAAGGCCCCACCAGTAGAACACTGTCACCCAAGAAAAGGCATCTGGTGTGGATTTTGCCATGCCTATATCCCTGAAAGGATTTTTTAATACTCAAAGCCCAAGGTGCCTAGTCAGGGTTCTCCCCACAGCTTCTGCTATATTATGAGTTGGCTGCAGTGTGCATTTGGGTAAGACATGCACTATTTGTGCCAAGAGATCTGAGCCCTAAGTCTATTCATCTGGTCTCTGGAATCTTGTTTTGATCCTCTCTAGTTGGGAGAACCTTCCTGAGTTTAGTCATTTGCCAAATGGAGACCACTCACCATTTAGTCTTTCTCATAGGGAAACTATGAGAATGAAATAAAATATTGAACATGAAAGCTTAGCGCTCATGTATAGTAGGTGCTCACTGAGTTTGGCTGCACTGGAATCCGAGTAACTCAGTAGGTAAACAGGTGATTGAACTGATCTGCCCATCATTTCAGGGGAGAAAAGTATTTTCCGTTCTGCCAGGAGCTGTTGACTCAGCAAAACCAAGATAGACAGTCAACACATGTTAAACACCTACCATGTGCTAGGTAAAATGTGGGAAATTAGGAGTCAGGCCACAGGGTTATAGAAGGAAGAGTTTTCTATGCCTCAGAGCTATGCAGAGACGGTGTGGCCAGCTCTAGGGAAGGAAGTCAGGGAAGCTTCCTGGCAGGGAGGGAAGTGGGAGCTGGACTAGATGGGGAGTGAGTTGGATGACCTTTTGAACCCCTTCTATTTAGGGTCATTACTATGCAGATAAAGAGAGAGGCAGGCTCAAGCAAAATGGACTTCAACCTGAGGGTCTAAGACACAGAAGCCGAGGGACAAAGGAATCTTAAAGATATTCTTTGGCTAATTACTTGCATTGCTATGGCCAATAACAAGAAGAATACAATAGTAATACTGTAGGGGTGTGTGTGTGTGTGCGCGCACTCAGTCATGTCTGACTCTTTTGCAACCCCAAAGACTGTAGCCCACCAGGCTTCTCTGTCCATGGAATTTTCCAGGCAAGAATACTGGAGTGGGTTGCCATGCCCTCCTCCAGGGGATCTTCCCAACCCGGGGATTGAACCTGGATCTTCAGCACTGCAGGCAAATTCTTTACCATCTGAGCAACCAGGGGAACCAATGGACTATATACTGCACCAGTACCTAGGAGAGAATTATAATTCAATTCAGTCACTCAGTCATGTCTGACTCTTTGTGACCCCATGGACTGCAGCACGCCAGTCTTCCCTGTCCATCACCAACTCCTGGGTTTGCTCAAACTCCTGTCCATGGAGTTGGTGATGCCATACAACCATCTCACCCTCTGTTGTCCCCTTCTCCTCCTGCCTTCAATCTTTCCCAGCATCATGGTCTTTTCCAGTGAGTCAGTTCTTCACATCAGGTGGCCAAAGTATTGGAGTTTCAGCTTCAGCATCGGTCCTTCCAATGAATATCTGGGACTGATTTCCTTTAGGACGGACTTGTTGGATCTCCTTGCAGTCCAAGGGACTCTCAAGAGTCTTCTCCAACACCCCAGTTCAAAAGCATCAATTCTTCAGCACTCAGCTTTCTTTACAGTCCAGCTCTCACATCCATACACGACCACTGGAAAAATCATAACTTTGACTAGACAGGCCTTTGTTAGCAAAGTAATGTCTCTGCTTTTTATTATGCTGTCTAGGTTGGTCATAGCTTTTATTCCAAGGAGCAAGCTTCTTTTAATTTCATGGCTGCAGTGACCATCTGCAGTGATTTTAGAGCCCAAGAAAATAGTCTCTCACTGTTTCCATTGTTGCTCCATCTATTTGCCATGAAGCAATGGGACCAGATGCCCATTGGAGAAGACAGTGGCAAACTACTTCAGAATTCTTGCCTTGAGAACCCCATGAGCAGTAGAAGAGAAGCATCGAGTAGCAATTATAAAAGCAAACTCTGAAGTCAGAGTTCTGGTAGCTGTGCCCTTGGGCAGAGCTTTAATCACTGCATCTTCTCAGCTCTCCCGTCTGTAAAGTGCAGAGAATAAGAGCTCTACCTCCTAGAGTTACAATGAGGATTAATTCATGTATATAAAGTACTTAAACCTGTGTCTGACACATGGTGGGTATTATACAGTGTTAACTATTCCTATCATGATCATGGTCGTTACCATCCTCCTTTCAAGTCTGAAATTAGGGAGACTGAGGGACAGATACAAGAGCCAGAGGATGGGTGATCAAAATGTCAGCTTTATTACCGATAGAAGTTGCTTCAAGAACATGGTATAGATGTGTAGGCAAAATGGACTTTCTAACGTTTCACCCCTGGATTAGGTAAGCTAACTTGCCAATTAATTCACGGGCACAGTATCTGGTCCATTGGCTGGCCAAGAGCAGACAAGAATGTGTTCCTGTGTGGACAGTCAAGAGAGAGAAGGCAGAGAGGGTTAAGTTGAGAATATTCATTTCCTCTTCTCAAATCCTCAGTCAGAGAAGTCACTGTTCCTCATGGGGTGGACCTATATGTGCTATATGGAAAGCACTACAGAAAAGCTAGAAGTGCTCTTTCCATATTCTTCCCTCCTGGGAAGTGGAATGAAAATTCCCTGCTACTCTGGAAACCTGAGAAGTAAGGAATAAATGTTCCACCCTAACAAACAATAATGAAAGTTTCAATTGATTGGAAGTTTCCATGTGCTAGGCTCTAAGTCTTTTATACTTATCAGCTCTTCTGATTCTCAGAATAATCCTAAGAAATATCTCCCCACATTTTGCACATGAGACAACTGAGGCTCAGAGAGGTGAAGTTACCTAACTCAGATCACCCAGCTAGAAAGTACTAGGGCATAGATTTGAAGTCAGGTCTGCTGGGCGTCAGCGTCTGGGCTCTTGGACAGTTGAATGTATTGCTTTCCTCCCCAGCCGTCTTCAGGCCCCTCTGGCTCCCTGTGACGGGCTCTGAGTTTTCTTTCTTCTTTGCTTCCCAGGTTGCACTGGTTTCCGCCTCCGACCAGTGGCTGGCCTGCTTTCTTCTCGGGATTTCTTGGGTGGCCTCGCTTTCCGAGTCTTCCACTGCACTCAGTACATCAGACATGGGTCTAAGCCCATGTATACACCAGAACCGTGAGTACTGTCCTTTTGCTATCAGCTTCAAGCCACAATGAGTTCCATCTCACCCGGCTCCAGTAACAAGGCTGGGACCCACTGTGGGCTGGTCCACAGGACTCATTGCCTGCATTGTTTGATGATAGTGCAACAAGGGAATTTCATCTCTTCTGGGGATTTCCCTCATCCAAATAGACTGTACTGATTGGAGATTTAGGCATCTTCTGAATCAAAGGTTCAGCTGAGAGAATGAGAGTTCACATTCAAATTCCAAAGAGATTGTAGAAAAGTCAGAGCTAGAAATGCCAAACTGGAATAGGAACAAGGGACACCCAGGCTGTCTCAACACTTCCTAATTCCTGGATCACATCTAGATGATTCTCATCTCTCTTTGCCTAGGTTGGATCTCAGCTGAAGATACAGAGTGTCTGGCCACTATGCTTCTTATTTTTGCATGTAGCCATCTCCTTAGTCAGCTGGAACTGAAGTAGTTTATGTGAACAGTCAGCAGGATACCACAAATGATCTTTCCCAGCCTGCAAAATTCATTACTAGAAATCAGAAAAGACCTATTCCTAGTAAACCTGGCACCTAGAGTGTTAAGTAAATGTAAGTTTTCTTCTGTAACCAATGTCAGCCCCCTCCAGGATAAGAGAGGAGCATCATTACTATTATTATTGTTGTTGTTGTTAGTGTTATTATTACTTCTACTATTATTGTTATTTAGTTCCCATGGAGAATAACTGAGCATATTGTATCTGTACAGGGATGTCAGTCCCAAGGAGAAGACTTGGGGTGGGAAGTGTTTGTGATCCACAGGTCATTTGGGGCTGTGGCTGCCCATAGGAGTCCTGGCTCTTTTGTTCTGCTTCCCACTGGGCATGCACTCAAAATCCCCTGGCCACTGTGCTGTGTCCTGTCCCTTACATTTCTTTTCCCTTCTTCTTTTTCTCTTGTATCTTGTCTCAGCTGATACCAAGCCTTACATACCCCTTATTCTTAGGAATGAGGTTATAACTGAATGAGTTGCTTGTTGCTTTCTGCCCATAGCTCATGTAGAAAAACTGAGTCCTGCATGGCTTATAACCCTCCTCCCCTCCAAGCTCTGTGCTTTTTGTTTTTCAGTGACATATGCCATGAGCTCTTGGGACATGTACCTTTGTTTTCGGATCGCAGCTTTGCCCAGTTTTCCCAGGTGAGCAATTAATTTCTCTCGCCTTCTAGTTACAGGGTGAGACCTGGATTGCTCAGATAAATTGAACCCATGGAGGGGCCCTCATGTCCTCTGTGAGGATGGAATCCAGATATAGTTCTGTGACCCCACCACAGGTGGGAATGTGGTCCCATGGGGCAGGCTAATTACCAATCCCAGGGACCACAGCATGGAGCTGGTGATTTGGTCATCCTAGGAATTCTGTGTTATTGACTTAGCTAATTTCACCTGTCCTACTGAATGTAGTTTAAGAGCCTTTTCATCTGTGAAAACCTCCCAGATCCCCATACAGAAGTAACCTTGCCTTCTTCCAAGTTCTCGTGGCATCTTTCCCCTCACATTTTGGGTCTTTGCCACTATATACCTTATCAGGCAATAATTTTTGTATATGCTTTAAGTACGTAAGATGGCATTTGCCAAGATTCTAGTGCCAATAGCCTGACTCACGGCAAAAAAATAAAGAGCCAGTTGCCTTCTCACCATCGTCAAGGCAGCAGGCTAAGCTTTGATTCATCTATTACAGTGGTGAGCAGGCTCAAAAATGCTTTTTGGATGAGTGAAAGAATCCTACAAAATCTCTTCTGGCACTGAGAGGCAGCCCAAACCATGGTTGGGCAACTGGGATGGTGGAGAGTGGAATGGTAGTGCTGTGTGGCCCAGGGCAAGTTGCCAGGCAACCCTGAGTCTCAGTCACCACAGATGTGGATCAATAAAGAGCCCTTCCTGATCGTCTCCTTCCTCACAAGGAAGAATAACGATCAAATGGAATGACCTATGAGCAAATGCTGGGCCAAGCATGAATTTCACAGTAATGGGATTGTATGTGAATCACTTAAGCATCTTCCTTCAGCCAGAAAGAAAGAACTATTTCTACTCTTGAATGAAGAGGCTGCCACATGGTAGCTGAAACAAACAGAAAACAAAATTAACTGCTTACTAAACAAGGAAAAACTATACTTGTTAGACACAGCCTCTCTAAACAAAGAAAACAACTGCTTTTATGTGTTTTAGATGCTCAGTCGTGTCTGACTCTCTGCGACCCCATGGACTGTAGCCCACCAAGCTCCTCTGTCCATGGGATTCTCCAGGCAGGAATACTGGAGTGGGCTGCCATTTCCTCCCCCAGGGGATCTAACAAACCAAGGGATTGAACCTCTGTTTCCTGTGCCTCCTGAATTGGCAGGCAGGTTCTTTACCAGTGAGCCACTTATGTGGGCTTGGAGGAATTGTGAAGTTCAGAGATTGTTGAACTTTTAGAAGTGGGAGTGTTTAGAAATTAAGTGAACCTTTTCTGTGGAAGTGTCACCACAGGAGTGGCTGACTTTCAGAAGTGTGGTTCCTGCTGCCAAGATGTCATAGATTGCTTTCGAACTAGGATTGGAAGTTTTTATTCTCATTACTAAAAGTTTTACTTCCCAGTCAGAGACTAAATGGCCATCCTCCTTAAGCCATTTCCATTTTGGGGATCCCCACAGCGGGGTTGGAAGTTACCTGAGTCAGCAGACAGAAGCTTCTGGCTCATCAGTTTTCCTGGTTCCAATTTTGACCTGGACAGTTCCAAAGCAGGGAGTTATTTTGAGTTCCCTGAGCATATTCTTTTTTGATCTAAAAGTAGGACTAGTTTCCCACTAGAGTGCAGGATGGAATGGGGTGAAGCACTTTGGGTTCCTTGTTGTAGGCAAGATCTAGACTCCCAAAGAATAGTGGCTATGAGAACAGGGAACCCTTTCAACCTTGCATTTATTGATGATGTCTTCTGTTAGACTTGGGTTTCCCAGGTGATGCAAGAGGTAAAGAACCCGCCTGCCAGTTCAAGAGACATAAGAGACGTGGGTTCAACCTCTGAGTCGGGAAGATCCCCTGGAGGAGGACATTGCCTCTCCTTAAAGAGATTTTTCATGGGCTGTGCATTTGGCCTGTACAATGTTCTTTCCTCAGCTATCAGCAGAGCCAATAACAGCCTTACTTCCATGAAGTCTTTGCTCAAATATCACCTTTCCAATGATGCTTTCAAATTTGTGGTGCTGGAGAAGATTCTTGAGAGTCCCTTGGACTACAGGGAGATCAAACCAGTCAATCCTAAAAGAAATCAACCCTGAATGTTCATTGGAAGGACTGATGCTAAGGCTGAAGCTCCAGTACTTTGGCCACCTGATGTGATCAGCTGACTCATTAGAAGTGACCCTGATGCTGGGAAATATCGAGGGCAGGAGGAAAAGGAGTGACAGAGACTGAGATGGTTGGATGGTATCACCGGTTCAATGGACATGAGTTTGAGCAAATTGAGTGAAGCACAGGGAAGCCTGGCGTGCCTCGGTCCATGGGGTTGCAAAGAGTCAGACATGACTTTGAGATTGAACAACAGCAACACAGCAATTTGTTAAAATCATTCTGGGGCCTTATTTAAAATCACAGTCTCGGGACTTTTCTTATGGTGCAGAGGTTAAGACTCTGCCTTCCAATGCAGACATTCGAAGGTTCAATTCTATCCCTGGTTGGGAACTAAGATGCCATATGCTGCAGGGCAACTAATCCCGCATGCCTGAACTAGAGAGCCTGAATGCCGCACCTACTGAGCCTGTAAGCGGACCCAATGCAGCCAAGAAAAAAAAGATGAAGGAAAGGGCAATCAAAGCCCCTGACCCCACCCATGCTTCTCTGGCACTCTGGATCCCTCTTGTCCCTTTCTCCTTTTGTTTCTTCTTTCCGAAGAACTTATCACCTTTAACATACCTATGTATATGCTTGTTATTTACTGTCTATCCACTTAAATGTAAAGGTCAGGGATTTTTATCAATTTTGTACATTGCCTGTCACATAAAAGGCATTCAGTAAATATTTTTGGAATGAATGAATGCATATTAGTAGGAAAGAAATATATATATATGCGCGCACACCCACACCCACACCCACACCCCCCCACACACATATATATTTATATATGTGCTCTGTCTGCTGCAAATCAGGCTGGAGCAAATGCTGTAAAAGAGACAGAAACCACTAGAGGCTTCTGAGTTGGGAGCTGTGATGAGAGGTGGCCCGTGACATCTCAGACTCTCCAGCTGTGTATATACCAGGACAGATGTCAGGAACTTCACAGCAAGTCTCCTATGGTGTTTTCAGGGGGCTTGATGAAGTCTCACCTAGTGCACCAGGAATATTCCACTTGAACTGTGGAAGGATAATGAGGACTTGACACGTTAGACACAACATACCGTGTGACCTTGAGCAGGTCATCTCTTTACTCTGTGCCTCGGTTTTCTCTTTTGTAAAGTGAATAGAGGACTAGGCTTCCTCCATTCTTGAGATCTGTGATTCTATGAAGTGTGGTCAGGGAAGCCTTGACAGAACAGTTAGCGTGTACCTGGGCCCTTCTGAAGGTATCTAGTTACTCATCCCCTTCCTGTGGTCAAATACGAGGTTGGAACTGAGGGTCAAGGCTGAAGGTCAGCAGACCCCAGCCATGTCAGTGGCTGTTTCTCTGCCATTGCAGGAAATCGGCCTCGCCTCCCTGGGTGCCCCTGATGAGTACGTTGAGAAACTTGCGACAGTAAGTATCCTCTCTCCCTGCTGGCTGGTGGGAATGTCTCGGATCTTTGAAACTTTGCTGTTTTCCTGAAAGCCAGATCATGTGAAAAGAAAAAATAATCAGAATGCCTTGCTTACTTTTGCACAAGTGACATTTCACATATTGACTTCTTGGTGGTTTGATTTTGAAATCAACTACACACAGATGTTTCCATGTAACTTTAAACAGTATGTCTTGAAAGCACCAACAGGCTGTAATGATAGTCGTTGGGAACCCCCTTGAATGGGTGGGAAGTAGTCTAGATTCACATCTTTGAAGAGGAAAGTATTTACTTTCTACCTGACGCTGGGGCCATCATGAGGATCTTTCCTTTCTCAGATCCGAGGTAAAAGTGGGAACTGGGCTCTGCCTTCTAACCAAACACTCTCTTCCACAGGGGGTGACAACTCTCATCCATAGACACCGTGGATGAGCAACTGCAGGGCAGGGCCTCCTTCCTGTAGACCCCCTTCCAACTTGACCAACGCACTCCTAACCTCTAAGCCACGTTTTTTATAATGTGCTCAGCTTGAAAGATAGGAAATAAAACTTTATAGTGGAATTAGGGACTTCAAATTAATGCACACATATCATTCAGTTCAGTTGCTCAGTCGTGTCTGACTCTTAGCGACCCAATGGACTGCAGCACTCCAGGCTTCCCTGTCATTATGATATATCAGTTTAGAAGTTTGTGAATTTATGAGAAGGTTGAAACCTCCCAGATCCTTTCTCACTGCCCAGCTGCTCTGAGACCCCAGGCAAGTGGCTTTTGCACCCTCATTTCTAGAAATGGATACAATTGTTTATACCGTTTCCATCTCAAAAGTACATCATGAGGATCTTGAGGATCAAAAGAGTTAAACTTGTGTGGATGTGAGTTTTTAAAAGCCAGATGCTGTGGTGATACAAAAAGTGACTTTCAAAGAAACTGCAGAACTTGATAGAATTTCTCAGTTGTGAGAAAAAAAAAACTGAAATACACAGCATTAAGTTACTTGCTGTAATTGTGATAAAAATATTCATCACCAACCTAGCTTCTCAAAAACAATCTTATTATTGATATACTGATCTGGGAATAGTCTTGGGGCCCTTGCTCTGCCTTGAGATGCTGTGTCACTGTATGTATGTAACTTCACCTCTCTGGGCTAAAGATGTCTCATCTGTATGTGAGCTCAGACTGACTCAGTTCTGACAGCCTTCCCAGGTTTCATGTTCTCTAGTACAATAAATAGACTTACCTAGAAACCCTGGGCCTTGGCTTTCTCTTGGCCCTATTCAGTAGGAAAGAAAGTGAAAGTCACTCAGTTGTGTCCGACTCTTTGTGATCCCATAGACTATACAGTCCATGCAATTCTCCAGGTCAGAATGTTGGAGTGGGTAGCCTTTCCCTTCTCCAGGGGATCTTCCCAACAGGGATCAAACCCAGGTCTCCTACATGGCAGGTGGATCTTTACCAGCTGAGCCACAAGGGGAACCAGAGAATCCTGGAGTGGGCAGCCTATCCCTTCTCCAGCAGATGTTCCTGACCCAGGAATCGATTCTAGAACCTTATTTCCCAAGCCATTTATCTGGGCCATGTTGCACTGGGAGCTATTGAAAGGAAAAGACTTGGTTATTTGGGAGGCTGAGTGCAGTGACTGACAGGGGTTTAACACAGATTGTTGCATGGTGGGGATACTGAATAATAACCTTAGAACTGAGAAGGAACTTTGAGGCCAAATAAGGAAGCAGATAGTTCAATAAAATGCAGTGATGAAGTTTACTGTGGGTAACTGACACAGGAAAGGGCGGGTAGACAGCAGCTAGAGGCTTTGGCAACCACACTCTATGCCATGAAAAGGGTACAGTGGGGCTAAAGGGGCCAACACTACTAAGATCCAGTGCAGCCAAATTAAAATTGATTAGTTAATTAACTAAAGGGGTCAAAGCTAAGGATAGAATCTGATTACTAAGGGAGAAGCAGGTTCACACTGTCAGGAGTTAGGGGTTTTTTCCCTCCCCCCGGAAGGTCTCATGACCATTAATCCTTGTGAGGCATTATCCATCTGCCTCAGCAAAAGTGTTTATATGTCAGATGAAGATTTTATATTGGATAAGAAGGGTAAAAGTTGATGAGGAACTTACCTGGTGCATTCCTTGTGAATGGACTGAAGCTCAACCTTGCAGAAAAGAATGGGGTTAGGACTTCAGGCTTACATGGAGCTGACAAAATGGCGTTGGTGTGGTTCAGTCACAGAGATAACAGGATATACTCCCTCACTGATTCTATCATGACCTGATTCCCTACCTCCCACTGAGCCTGATGGGATTGTAACTCCAGCCAACTTAGGGGAGCAACTCCCTCTAGCTGATGCCACAGAGAAGAAAGCGGAGAGGGTGGAAGAGTTCCTGTCACAGGAACTTGTTGGGGGTACCCTTTGGGGGGCTTCCTTAATACTCTCCCACCACTTCCCATCACATCTTGCAGTCAGTTCAGTTCAGTTCAATCACTTGGAGAAGGCAGTGGCACCCCACTCCAGTACTCTCACCTGGAAAATCCCATGGATGGGGGAGCCTGATAGGCTGCAGTCCATGGGGTCACTAAGAGTCAGACACAACTGAGCAACTTCACTTTCACTTTTCACTTTCATGCATTAGAGAAGGAAATGGTAGCCCACTCCAATGTTCTTGCCTGGAGAATCCCAGGGACGGGGGAGCCTGGTGGGCTGCCATCTATGGGGTCACACAGAGTCGGACACGATAGAAGTGACTTAGCAGCAGCAGCAGCAGTTCAATCTCTAAGTCATGTCTGACTCTTTGTGACCCCATGGACTGCAGCACGCCGGCTTCCCTGTCATCACCAACTCCTGGAGCCTGCTCAAACTCATGTCCATTGAGTCGGTGGTGCCATCCAGTCATCTCATCCTCTGTCATCCCCTTCTCCTGCCTTCAATCTTTCCCAGCATCAAGGTCTTTTCCAAGGAGTCAGTTCTTTACATCAGGTGGCCAAAGTATTAGAGTTTCAGCTTTAGCATCTTGCATTCAGCCAACTCTTAATTCAACAGGTAACTGGATAGGCTAAGACATAGCACAGGAAACCACGACCCCAGGTCAGGCTGATTCAGAGAACAGACCTGCACAAACTCCCACCTGGGCACCTTGTCTCTGGCCCTGGGTCACCTGCTGCTTCCTTGTGTACGCTTTCAACTTGACTTTCCATTTCAGATTTACTGGTTTACTGTGGAGTTCGGGCTCTGCAAGCAAGGAGACTCCATAAAGGCATATGGTGCTGGGCTCCTGTCATCCTTTGGTGAATTACAGGTATGAACCAAATAGGAACCATGAGTGGATTTGAGAGTGATAGGTACAGCAGACCATTCATTTTACCTTTGTGCTGTCGAAACCCTCTTATATCCACTTTGAAACTAAACCTCAGGGTTTCTCCTCAAGTGATTGACCTCTTACCAGCTGTGATTTTGTTGTGACTGTGGGCTTTAGAGATTGAAATTGAACTGCAGATACACAGATCTCCAGACCAGAGGGGCCTCCTGAATCTAGGGTTGAACTATGCATTGGGACACAGGCAAACACATGCCAGAAAATGTGGCTGCTCCCACACCATCTGTTGATCACCTTACCTGAAAATGGTTGGGGTAAAAATTCCTTTTGATCATGATTGCTCTCTAGTATGTGCAAAATAATTTAGTTCACCTGCATTGGGACTAGGGTATGGAAGGAATCAGGATAAGGTGGGAAGGGATGCACAAATAGGGGATGCGGCAGGGACCAGCAGCGCTGACTTAACCGTGACGACTTTCCATTTGGGACCCGCAGTATTGCCTATCAGGCAAGCCGAAGCTCCTTCCTCTGGAACTGGAGAAGACCGCTGTCCAGGAGTATACGATCACAGAGTTCCAGCCTCTTTATTATGTGGCTGAGAGTTTTAATGATGCCAAGGAGAAAGTGAGGTGAGATGGTAACCAAGCTAGGCCAGCAGCCCTGGGGACCTCCTGACTCGACCTGGTGCCGCTCGTCTGTGGGAGGTTGGGCAGGAGAATAGATTTCAGTGCCTACAGCAGCGGCGTGCGTCAGACAGTATTCTCTCCCCACCCTGTCTCTTTCCACTCCCTGTTGAGAGAAGTGCCTTCCTTTGCAGGACCCCGTTTCGTAGCTTATTAGCCGAACATGATGACCCCTGCAGACAGGCCTACCACCTTATCCTTGCTCAGTGCGGCCACCAGGCCCACCCCTGAACTCTCGTATGTTCAGAGCGGCCACAGACGTCCCCCCATCAAACAGCACTAGACATTTTCTCACCCAAGGGAGTCCTTTGCCACTTTATTCTCCCACATACTTGCATAACTCCCTCCCTCCCCTCTCTTCAGCCTTTACCCACATTTAACCATTTTTGTGTGTCTTTCTCTAAACAACTTGCTTAAAATCAATACCCAGCCCTGTCTCCCACCCCCACCCCCCCACTGCTCCTTACTGGCTCTGTGATTTACTTTTCTCCTTAGCACTTATTAATGTCTAAAATCTTGTGTGATTTAAGGTCCCTGAGGATAGGGGATTTTGTCCTTTCTGCTCTTTCCCCTGACTTCAAGAACAGTGCCGGACACCTAGCAAACACTCAGTATTGCTATTGTTCAGTTGCTAAGTCATGTCAGGCTCTTTGTGACTCCATGGACTGCAGCACACCAGACTTGCTTGTCCTTCACTGTCTCCTGGAGTTTGCTCACACTCATGTCCATTGGGTCGTGATGCCATCCAACCATCTCATCCTCTGAATCAGTGAGTAACTGGCAAATGTGCCAATCTCAGAGGCAATTCAGCACCAGGCTGGTGGAGTGGTACCAGGACTCTGAGACTCAAAGCTCCCCGAGAAGATGGCCCTGCCATCAACCTGCCAGAGCCATACTGCTCCCAGCAGGTGGTGGGCTGGACAGAGGGTCTACTTATACAGGGCAGCCATGATTCCATTTTTACCACTTCTTTTGTTGTATCTTAGCAGTGATGTGTAATAAATGTAAGTCTTACAGGCTTCTGGAATCCCTGAAGCTGGGCATGTCAGCTTTGAATGCACCGGGCTTAGGTAACCAACAGTAAAATGGTAGCCCACAAATGCACTTTCTTTGACCCCAAATGACTCCCTCCACTCTTTTCTCCAGGGCCCTTAGGTCCTTCCTGCCATTCTTTGCCATTTTTCTCCTAAATTTTCACCCTTACTGAGAACCTAGGCTTTCTGTAGCCCTAAAGGTTCCACTCTGCCATTCCTGGAACTCCTTTAGGGTTATGGATTTTCAGGAGTTCATGCATTATTCCACCAAGGTAATTATAGTTACAGGTAAGGTGGCCCAGACAGTAAAGAATCCACCTGCAATGAACGAGACATGGGTTCGACCCCTGGGGTCGGAAAGATCCCCTGGAGAAGGGAATGGCTACCCACTCCAGTATTCTTGCCAGGAGAGTCCCATGGACCGAGGAGCCTGGCAGGCTACATGCCATGGTGTCACGAAGAGCTGGACACATGTGAGCGACTAACACTTTCACTTTTCAAGATGCCTAGTAGCTATTTTGTACCAAACATTGTTCTCAGTGCTTTCCAGATATCAATTCATTTAGACCACAAATTGCGGATAGGGGTGCAGAAACATTGAAGGGGTAAGTAACTCCCTCAGCATCACACAGCTAGTAAGTGGCCAGCCCAGGGTTTGGACTCAGGCAGTGGAACTCAGAGCTGGTACTCTTAACTGCCAAGTTGCACTGAGATTCCCACATGGACAGGCCGTTCTGGAGATGACTCTCTCACTCAGGGAGTGATCAGCCTCAGGCCAACAGGGAAGACCTTGCCAGGACATGGGCCTCTCTTTGAAATCCCACCTGCTCTGCTAGTGTCTGCTTCCCCTGATGACTTGGTGGTAAAGAACCTGCCTGCAATGCAGGAGACGCGGGTCCATTCACTGGGTCAGAGAGATCCCCTGGAGGAGGAAATGGCAACGCACTCCAGTATTCTTGCCTGGAAAATCCCGTGGACCAAGGAGTCTGGTGAGCTACATAGTCCATGGGGTCACAGAGAGTCAGACATGACTGAGTATGCACTCACTCACTGCTAGTGTCTAGAGCCCAGAGGAGACACAAAAGCTCTCATCTGCTGAGAGCTGGCTCACAGAACGAAAGATAATTCAAAAAGGGAAGGGATCTGAGCACCTCTGGGATACCCTCAGAGCATCCCGACTAAAAGAAACCGATGCCAACCATTTTCAGTTTCAGTATTCAAATTCTAGCAGAGACAGGGCTGAGTTTGTTCACACACCCGCTGCTTGACCTGAGGAGCACTAAGTGGGCCTCAGACTGACAGCCCAACTCATATATCTCCAGTGGGGGAGGTCGAGTCCCCAAAGAAAAAACAAGCTGCACCCTGGAATGAGGGACGAGGGGAAGAGCAGGCAGTCACAGGTGTCTACTGCTTGGTTCATGTCACCAGCGGGACCGAGAAGGCTTTTTCCAAAGAAGAGATGGGGCAGGATACTTAACCACTTATCCTTCAGTCACTAAGAAAAGATTCCTCCCAGGCCCAGGAGTGATGCACCAGGCAGGCAGGGAAGTGAGGGGCCCAGGCCAGATTCAGACTACCTGTATTCTTTCCCTTTTTTATAATGTGTTGCCAGCATGGCCTTAGTAGTTATTTAGCTTCCTCAAGCCTCAGTTTCCTCATCATAAAATGGGAATAGTAAAATGGTACCTTCCTCTTAAGGTTTTTATGAAGACTAATTTAGTAAATAGTTAATAGTTAGTTAATAGATAATAGTTGTTAAGAGTATAAAACAGTTGAAACTTGCTCTAGTTCTCAAACGTAGGAGGCCCTCAATCCATGTTAAGTTGTCTTCAACTTTGAGAACCATGTTTTCCTTCTTTGCATTGATGATCAAGCATCTCAGAGGTTTTTCCCTTCTATAACATTCTTTGGCTAGATTTTACTTACTCCTTTTATTTTATTTAATGATAAGAATTTGGCCTTATTGTATACTGTGCTTTTATTGTAAGCTACTTCTGACATTTTGGAGGCATGTGCATAAGTGTGTTTGTATATACACAGACACACCTACCACATACAAAGGCTTCCCAAAGAGGACCTAAAACTCCATTTCACTTCTCAGCCCAGTACTAAAGCCCCTGGTGAGGTTTCAATGCTACTAATAACCAAGTGAATGCCACTGAAAAATCTTTTTAAATTACTTTCCCCCAAATGGTAGCCTTCACTCAGACCTATGATTTTGGTTTCAGGAACTTTGCTGCCACAATCCCACGGCCCTTCTCAGTTCGTTACGACCCATACACTCAACGGATTGAGGTCTTGGACAACACCCAGCAACTTAAGATTTTGGCTGACTCCATCAGTAGTAAGTAACATACACCCTCTGAGGCTATTCTCATATAGGATTGTGTTTTCTTACCTTCCTCAGAGGAACAGTAAGAAATGTATTAAATATTTAAGAAAAACATTTCCAGGGAAGCTACTGACTTATTGAGAGAGAAAAACTTAGCAGTAAAAAGCCAGAATTGCCTTGAGTGTCCTCTCTGCTTTGACCTTCCTGGATCCCACCCCACCTCCTATGACCCACCACCTTTCCACCCTGGCTTGTTGCTGCCACGTTCCCCTTTCTCTTTGCATTTTCACCCCTTCCCCTCTAAGTGTCCACTGGACCTTACTCTGCCTGGAATACCAGCTCCTAAGGATAGATTTTATCTACTTTATCAATCACAGAGCAGTTCATCCATTGACCTTTTATTTTTTTGGACAACAAGATTATTATAATAGTTGTTCTTAAAAAGTCATTGTGCTATTATGTTCATCTCCCAATTCTTTCTAGCCTTCAAATTCCCCTCAAGCAACACTGACCAGCTCTTAGTTCCCGTGCATTCCCCTGGCCTTTGCCCATACAGTTTTTGTTTAAAATACTCTCTTTACCACTCCCGTTTAGGGACCCCATCCCAGTTCATCTTTCAATTGTTCATACATATCTCTTCTTAGGGTAAGTCTGGTTTGGGTGTCCCTCTTAGGTCTTGGCCTTCCCATAGATCCCTCTCTCAGAGCACTTATCATAGGTTTTTTATTTTATAATTGTCTGCTTGTCTGTCTCCCCAACTAGACTTGAGCAGAGGGCCATGTCGGGTTTGCTGTCAAATCCCCAGCAGTTAGCCATATTCCGAAAAATCACATTAGGTACTCAAGAACTATTGAATGAATGGACAAAACCACCCAAGGATCAAGCTTTATTTATTTATTTATTTATTTTTTTTTTTTTTTTTTATCACAACCATAGTGTATCTTTTTTTTTTTTTTTTTTTTTTTTACATGTATTCCCCATCCTGGTCCCCCCTCCCACCTCCCTCTCCACCCAATCCCTCTGGGTCTTCCCAGTGCACCAGGCCCGAGCACTTGTCTCATGCACCCAACCTGGGCTGGTGAACTGTTTCACCCTAGATAATATACGTGTTTCAATGCTGTTCTCTTGAAACATCCCACCCTCGCCTTCTCCCAGAGTCCACAAGTTTGTTCTATACATAGGAGTCTCTTTTTCTGTTTTGCACATAGGGTTATCGTTACCATCTTTCTAAATTCCATATATATGTGTTAGTATACTGTAATGGTCTTTATCTTTCTGGCTTACTTCGCTCTGTATAATGGGCTCCAGTTTCATCCATCTCATTAGAACTGATTCAAATGAATTCTTTTTAATGGCTGAGTAATATTCCACGGTGTATATGTACCACAGCTTCCTCATCCATTCGTCTGCTGATGGGCATCTAGGTTGCTTCCATGTCCTGGCTATTATAAACAGTGCTGCGATGAACATTGGGGTACACTTGTCTCTTTCAGATCTGGCTTCCTCGGTGTGTATGCCCAGAAGTGGGATTGCTGGGTCATATGGCAGTTCTATTTCCAGCTTTTTAAGAAATCTCCACCCTGTTTTCCATAGTGGCTGTACTAATTTGCATTCCCACCAACAGTGTAAGAGGGTTCCCTTTTCTCCACACCCTCTCCAGCATTTATTGCTTGTAGACTTTTGGATAGCAGCCATCCTGACTGGTGTGTAATGGTACCTCATTGTGGTTTTGATTTGCATTTCTCTGATAATGAGTGATGTTGAGCATCTTTTCATGTGTTTGTTAGCCATCTGTATGTCTTCCTTGGAGAAATGTCTGTTCAGTTCTTTGGCCCATTTTTTGATTGGGTCATTTATTTTTCTGGAGTTGAGCTGGAGGAGTTGCTTGTATATTTTTGAGATTAATCCTTTGTCTGTTGCTTCGTTTGCTATTATTTTCTCCCAATCTGAGGGCTGTCTTTTCACCTTGCTTATAGTTTCCTTTGTTGTGCAAAAGCTTTTAAGTTTCATTAGGTCCCATTTGTTTATTTTTGCTTTTATTTCTAAAATTCTGGGATGTGGGTCATAGAGGATCCTGCTGTGATTTATGTCGGAGAGTGTTTTGCCTATGTTCTCCTCTAGGAGTTTTATAGTTTCTGGTCTTACATTTAGATCTTTAATCCATCTTGAGTTTATTTTTATGTATGGTGTTAGAAAGTGTTCTAGTTTCATTCTTTTACAAGTGGTTGACCAGTTTTCCCAGCACCACTTGTTAAAGAGGTTGTCTTTTTTCCATTGTATATCCTTGCCTCCTTTGTCCAAGATAAGGTGACCATAGGTTCGTGGATTTATCTCTGGGCTTTCTATTCTGTTCCATTGATCTATATTTCTGTCTTTGTGCCAGTACCATACTGTCTTGATGACTGTGGCTTTGTAGTATAGTCTGAAGTCAGGCAGATTGATTCCTCCAGTTCCATTCTTCTTTCTCAGGATTACTTTGGCTATTCGAGGTTTTTTGTATTTCCATACAAATTGTGAAATTATTCGTTCTAGTTCTGTGAAAAATACCGTTGGTAGTTTGATAGGGATTGCATTGAATCTGTAGATTGCTTTGGGTAGTATAGCCATTTTGACAATATTGATTCTTCCAATCCATGAACACGGTATATTTCTCCATCTGTTTGTGTCCTCTTTGATTTCTTTCATCAGTGTTTTATAGTTTTCTATGTATAGGTCTTTTGTTTCTTTAGGTAGATATACTCCTAAGTATTTTATTCTTTTTGTTGCAATGGCGAATGGTATTGTTTCCTTAATTTCTCTTTCTGTTTTCTCATTGTTAGTGTATAGGAATGCAAGAGATTTCTGTGTGTTAATTTTATATCCTGCAACTTTACTGTATTCGTTGATTATCTCTAGTAATTTTCTGGTAGAGTCTTTAGGATTTTCTATGTAGAGGATCATGTCATCTGCAAACAGCGAGAGTTTCACTTCTTCTTTTCCTATCTGGATTCCTTTTACTTCTTTTTCTGCTCTGATTGCTGTGCCAAAACTTCCAAAACTATGTTGAATAGTAGTGGTGAGAGTGGGCACCCTTGTCTTGTTCCTGATTTCAGGGGAAATGCTTTCAGTTTTTCACCATTGAAGGTGATGCTTGCTGTGGGTTTGTCATATATAGCTTTTATTATGTTGAGGTATGTTCCTTCTATTCCTGCTTTCTGGAGAGTTTTAATCATAAATGGGTGTTGAATTTTATCAAAGGCTTTTTCTGCATCTATTGAGATAATCATATGGTTTTTATCTTTCAATTTGTTAATGTGGTGTATTACATTGATTGATTTGCGGATATTAAAGAATCCTTGCATTCCTGGGATAAAGCCCACTTGGTCATGATGTATGATTTTTTTAATATGTTGTTGGATTCTGTTTGCTAGAATTTTGTTAAGGATTTTTGCATCTATGTTCATCAGTGATATTGGCCTGTAGTTTTCTTTTTTTGTGGCATCTTTGTCTGGTTTTGGCATTAGGGTGATGGTGGCCTCATAGAATGAGTTTGGAAGTTTACCTTCTTCTGCAATTTTCTGGAAGAGTTTGAGTAAGATAGGTGTTAGCTCTTCTCTAAATTTTTGGTAGAATTCAGCTGTGAAGCCATCTGGTCCTGGGCTTTTGTTTGCTGGAAGATTTCTGATTACAGTTTCGATTTCCTTGCTTGTGATGGGTTGGTTAAGATCTTCTATTTCTTCCTGTTTCAGTTTTGGAAAGTTATACTTCTCTAAGAACTTGTCCATTTCACCCAAGTTGTCCATTTTATTGGCATAGAGCTGCTGGTAGTAGTCTCTTATGATCCTTTGTATTTCAGTGTTGTCTGTTGTAATCTCTCCATTTTTGTTTCTAATTTTGTTAATTTGGTTCTTCTCCCTTTGTTTCTTAATGAGTCTTGCTAATGGTTTGTCAATTTTGTTTATTTTTTCAAAAAACCAGCTTTTAGCTTTGTTAATTTTTGCTATGCTCTCTTTAGTTTCTTTTGCATTTATTTCTGCCCTGATTTTTAAGATTTCTTTCCTTCTACTAACCCTGGGGTTCTTCATTTCTTCCTCCTCTAGTTGCTTTAGGTGTAGAGTTAGGTTATTTATTTGACTTTTTTCTTGTTTCTTGAGGTAGGCCTGTAATGCTATGAATCTTCCCCTTAGCACTGCCTTTACAGTGTCCCATAGGTTTTGGGTTGTTGTGTTTTCATTTTCATTCATTTCTATGCATATTTTGATTTCTTCTATGATTTGTTGGTTATTCAGAAGCGTGTTGTTTAGCCTCCATATGTTTGAATTTTTAATAATTTTTTTCCTGTAATTAAGATCTAATCTTACTGCACTGTGGTCAGAAAAGATGACTGGAATGATTTCAATCTTTTTGAATTTACCAAGACTAGATTTATGGCCCAGGATGTGATCTATTCTGGAGAAGGTTCCGTGTGCACTTGAGAAAAAGGTGAAGTTGCCTGTTTTGGGGTGAAACGTCCTATAGATGTCAATTAGGTCTAGCTGGTCCATTGTGTCCTTTAAAGTTTGTGCTTCCTTGTTCATTTTCTGTTTAGTTGATCTATCCATAGTTGTGAGTGGGGTATTAAAGTCTCCTACTATTATTATTATTGTTACTATTAATTTCCTCTTTCATACTCGTTAGTGTTTGCCTTACATATTGCGGTGCTCCTATGTTGGGTGCATATATATTTATAATTGTTATATCTTCTTCTTGGATTGATCCTTTGATCATTATGTAGTGTCCATCTTTGTCTCTTTTCACAGTCTTTATTTGAAAGTCTATTTTATCTGATATGAGTATTGCGACTCCTGCTTTCTTTTGGTCTCCGTTTGCGGAGGAATATTTTGCGTGGAATATTTTTTTCCAGCCCTTCACTTTTAGTCTGTATGTGTCCCTTGCTTTGAGGTGGGTCTCTTGTAGACAGCATATATAGGGGTCTTGCTTTTTTATCCATTCAGCCAGCCTTTGTCTTTTGGTTGGGGCATTCAACCCATTTACATTTAAGGTGATTATTGATAGGTATGGTCCCGTTGCCATTTATTTTGTTGTTTGGGGTTCACGTTTATACCACCTTTCTGTGTTTCCTGTCTAGAGAAGATCCTTTAATATTTGTTGAAGAGCTGGTTTGGTGGTGCTGAATCCTCTCAGCTTTTGCTTGTCTGTAAAGCTTTTGAGTTCTCCTTCATATCTGAATGAGATCCTTGCTGGGTAGAGTAATCTAGGTTGTAGGTTATTCTCTTTCATTACTTTAAGTATGTCCTGCCATTCCCTTCTGGCCTGAAGGGTTTCTATTGATAGATCAGCTGTTATCCTTATGGGAATCCCTTTGTGTGTTATTTGTTGTTTCTCCCTTGCTGCTTTTAATATTTGTTCTTTGTGTTTGATCTTTGTTAATTTGATTAATATGTGTCTTGGGGTGTTTTGCCTTGGGTTTATCCTGTTTGGGACTCTCTGGGTTTCTTGGACTTGGGTGGCTATTTCCTTCCCCATTTTAGGGAAGTTTTCAGCTATTATCTCCTCGAGTATCTTCTCATGGCCTTTCTTTTTGTCTTCTTCTTCTGGGACTCCTATGATTCGAATGTTGGGGCGTTTCACATTGTCCCAGAGGTCCCTGAGGTTGTCCTCATTTCTTTTGATTCTTTTTTCCTCTCTGCTTCATTTATTTCCACCATTTTATCTTCTAACTCACTTATCCTATCTTCTGTCTCTGTTATTCTACTCATGGTTCCCTCCAGAGTGTTTTTGATCTCATTTATTTCATTATTAATTTTTAATTGACATTTTTTTATTTCTTCTAGGTCCTTATTAAACATTTCTTGCATCTTCTCAATCTTTATCTCCAGGCTATTTATTTGTAACTCCATTTTGTTTTCAAGATTTTGGATCATTTTTATTATCATTATTCTAAATTCTTTTTCTGGTAGATTCCCTATTTCCTCCTCTTTTGTTTGACTTGGTGGGCTTTTTTCATGTTCCTTTAGCTGTTGGGTATTTCTCTGCCTTTTCATCTTGTTTAGATTGCTGTGTCTGGAGTGGGCTTTCTGTATTCTTGTGGTCTGAGGTTCCTTTTTATTGTGGAGGTTTCACCCAGTGGGTGGGGTTGGACGATTGGTTTGTCAAGGTTTCCTGGTTAGGGAAGCTTGTGTCAGCGTTCTGGTGCGTGGAATTGGATTTCTTCTCTCTGGAGTGCAATGGAGTGTCCAGTAATGAGTTTTGCGATGGATCTATGTGTTAGGTGTGACTTTGGAGAGCCTGTATGTTGACACTCAGGTCTATGTTTCTGCGTTGCTAAAGAATTTGCGTGGTATGTCTTGTACTGGAGCTTATTGGCTCTTGGGTGGTGGTTGGTTTTGGTGTAGGTATGGAAGCTTTTGGATGGTCTCTTATTCCTTAATGTTCCGTGTAGTCAGGAGTTTTCTGGTTTTCTCAAGATTTGGGCTTAAGTCTCCTGCCTAGACGGCAAAAGCACTGACACCCGTGAGCGGGGCAAACCCAGTGTGGCCGGAACACGGTGAGTGCTATCCACACAGAGCGGTATCTGTCTGCAGCGCCCGCCCTCCCCGTAGCAGGACTGAACTGAACTAGAGAACCTAAATAAGAGATCACCTCCGCCCGCCTGTGTCAGGGCGGAAATTAGACACCAAAGAGACGGCAAACAGAAGCCAAATAAACAAAGGGAACCGCTTCAGAAAGGACCGGTGCAACAGATTAAAATCCCTGAAGGTAACACCGACTACACCGGAAGGGGCCTCTAGATATCGAGAAGTGTAAGCTGGAAAGAGGAGCTATCTGAAATTGAACTGAACCTACGCTGACTGCAACAACTCCAGAGAAATTCCTAGATATATATATATTTTTTTTTTTTAATTAAAAAAAAATTTTTTTTTCTATCCTTTTTTTAAAATTTTTTTTAATTTTTTCTCTTTTATTTTCTTTTAAAATTCCCTATTACTCCCCCATTACTCCTCAACTTTCATTTTCATATATTTTTATGATTTTTTTAATTAGGGAAAAAAAAATTTTTTTTCTTTTTTTTTCTTTTTCTTGTTTTTCTCTCCTATTTCCTTTTAAAGTCCTCTAATACTCCTCTATTATTCCTTAATTTTCATTTTCATTTCACTATAACCTTGCCAAAAAAAAAAAAGAGAGAGAGAAAAACCCTATTTTTAAATCAAACTTCATATACATTTCTAAATTTTTGTGTGTGTGTTTTTGTTTGTAAATATTGTATTTCAAAGAGTCTAACCTCTACACTAGATTTTTAATCTTTGTTTTTCAGTAGTATGTGATATAAATTTTGGTCATTTAAGAATCCAATATTCAGTTCCCATTTCTATTCAGGAGTGTGGTGATTACTCTCCCACTTTTGACTCTCTGTTTTCTACCTCGGAACACCTCTATTTCCTCCTTTCCCCTTCTCTTCCCAATCCAACTCTGTGAATCTTTGTGGGTGTCTGGGCTACGGAGAACACTTTGGGAACAGGTAACTGCGTAGATCTGTCTCTCTCCTCTTGAGTCCCCTTTTTCTCCTCCTGATCACCTCTATCTCCTTCCTCCCTCTCCTATTCTTCATGTAACTCTGTGAATCTCTCTGGTAGTCTCTCACGGTGGAGAATCTTTTCACCATTAACCTAGAAGTTTTATTATCAGTGCTGTATAGTTGGAGAAGTCTTGAGACTATTGGAAGAACAAAACTGAAATCCAGAGGCAGGAGACTTAAGGATCAAGCTTTAAAGGGAGAAGTTCTAGTCCAAGGGGTGGGGAGTGTCTGTCTGTAAAAATGTGCTAAGAAAGGCCGGAAGGGCTGGTGTACTTGACGTATCCCTCTCTACCCCTGTGACGTTGCCTGAAGCCACTGCTAAAATGCAGAACTAGCCCATTATACTGGTTTCCATCTGGTATGGCCTCCCTCCCATAATGAGCCATTGTGATAAAGTCCAAGGCTGATTCCCTCCCATAGATGCCATCTTGAACACTCAGCTGGAATAATCTGTTCACCAAAGAGGCCAGCCACGGGCTCTGGAGGCTGGGGTGTGAGAGAGGAGGGTTAGGCCATAGCCGTTTTCTCTCTCTCATTTCCCCTGAGAAAGTGAAAATAATTTCAAAGACTATTATTTATAAGAGGTTTCTAAAAATCACTGACTAACAGATTTAGGAACTGGAGGGTCCTTAGAGTTTTGTGACCTTATATGAGGCCCCATCATCTCTATACTGTCCTCAGGATCTAGGCAGGAATAAGGCTGGTCTGTCTCCAAGTCCCCTTCCACTTCTATGAAGAGTCTGTGTCCTTGTGGCCCCTTGGCATGTGAGAATCTGGCATGAATGAAAGTGACTCCATCATACTTTACTTAGTCTGGTGGTCTGGCAATCTAGGCTGAGTTCTCTGCTTAGACCATGCCTTCTCAAACCTCGTGTGCCTCAGAATCACTTGGAGAGCTAGTTAGAAATGGATAGTCCTGAGTTGTACTCCCAGACTAAATTCCCTGAATGTGTGATATGAGTCAGGGATTTGTATTTGTAATGAAGCCCCAGGGAATTCTGACATGGAGTGGGGGTGGGGGGCAACGTGAACCCTACTTTTAGGTCCTGTGGCTTAGCCCTTTACAAGCATCTGTGGATGGTCATGTGAAAAGGAAACAGAAAAGCTAGTGATTTCCCTGGGGAGAAAAATATTACCTCCTTCCCTGAGAAACAGACAATGGAAAGAGGAAGCGTAATTACATTAATAGCTCTTTAGCAGTTCCTACAACTTGGAATCATCTGTAATGGCTCAGATTTTATCACCCTAACTAAGCTATCAGCTCCTTGAAGGTCGGGGTAGTTCCTAGTGTATGCACACACCCCACTGATTCCCTAACCTTTTACACACTGCAGACACTTGAAGGTTGTTTGTTCACAGTATGAGTGGCTCCTTTGTTTTTCTTTGTAGGTGAAGTTGAAATCCTTTGCAGTGCCCTCCAGAAATTAAAGTGAAGTCACGGACAGAGCCTAAACTGAGAATCTCTCGATGGAAATCCAACTGCTTCTTTCATTTCATCTTAAAAAGTGTAAAAAACAAGCCTTAATTCAAAATGAAGCCTTAAATCCTTTCGAGAGCAAGATGGCGGGTCAACAAATAAAATCATCTGAAATGACAGCATATTAATAATACCCCAAAGCATAATGATGGGTCTTTTGGGGTCATCTGTGATTTAGAGATGATAATCTCATACTCTGAATTGAATTAAAAATCAATAACCTGTCACATTTCATCAAAGTTAATGAAAACTTGGGACCTGCTTTATTCAACCTTCCTAAATACTTTCATTATTTTCTGTAGAGAATTCCTAAAGGGATATATATCCCTCACTGTGAAACACAAGCCTATCAGAATTGAATTTCTGGATTTAATATAAATTTTAGCCTACAAAAGTCATTTTCTGTTTCAGGGAACTACGATTCTACTTACTGCTTTGTTATTTTGCCTACGTAGATTTTCTTTAATTCAGAAGCCTATTAAAATCAATACAAATATTAAAGTTCATAATGTACTATCAAAATATTTTTGTGTTTTATTATCATCATAAACACTGGTATGGAAGGTGGTAGAACTCTCCATCTGATTCAACTTGCAGTATCATTTTCCAATCAATTGTCAAGTCTGTTTTGGGAGACATTTTGAAGACATTTAAGATGCAGTGCATACATGCTAAGTCACTTCAGTCATGGCTGACTTTTTGCAACTACATGGACTGTAGCCCACCAGGTTGCTCTGTTAATGAAGAATACTGGAGAGGGTTGCCATTTCTTCCTCCAGGGGATCTTCCTAATCCAGGGATAGAATCCAAGTCTCTTAAGTTTCCTCTATTGGCAGGTGGGTTCTTTACCACTAGCACCGCCTGAGAAGCCCCTTTAAGATGCAATAGATGTTAATTAAAATCCCAGATGGTAGATTTTCAGTAAATATTCATTGAATGAATAAGGGAATACATTTATTAAACAGCAAATCTTCAACAAATGTGAGAATTTTAAATACATTAAAAGGCGAGGGTGGGATGTTTCGAGAGAACAGCATCGATATGTATATTATCTAGGGTGAAACAGATCACCAGCCCAGGCTGGATGCATGAGACAAGTGCTTGGGCCTGGTGCACTGGGAAAACCCAGAGGAATCAGGTAGAGAGGGAGGTGGGAGGGGGGACCGGGACGGGGAATACATGTAAATCCATGGCTGATTCATGTCAATGTATGACAAAAACCACTATAATATTGTAAAGTAATTAGCCTCCAACTAATAAAAATAAATGAAACAAACAAACAAACAAACAAAAAACATTAGTGGTTTCTCAATTTTGCAGTTTCTTGGAATGAAATAATCCTCTCATTGCCTTAGAAATATATTAGCTGGATAAACTTGTAATGTGAAAGAATGATCAGAGTTTCAGATTTCCCACCCCTTGCAGGGGATCATTGTGATAATCTAAGTCAAGTCTGGGCAGTTGACAGATTTTGACTTTTGTTGGTTGTGCATTTTACGTGACTATACAAATATAAGAAACAGCGGGGGAAAAGCAGTGTCTTAAAAGCTTTGCTTTGAAATTCTCACACCACTTTATCATTTTATCATGGAAATAGTTAAATCGTCAATGATTTTTGTAATACTTCTGCAAGTGTGATTCTCAGACCAGTTGTATCGTTATCAACAGTAAATCCGAGGCACAATCCCAGCCTTGTTGTTGTTCAGTTGCATCTGACTCTTTGCAACCCCATGGACTGAAGCACGCCAGGCTACCCTGTCCTTCACCATCTCCCTGAGTTTGCTCAAACTCATGTCCATTGAGAGTCAGTGAAACCATTCAACCATCTCATCCTCTGCCCCCCCGCCCCCTTCTCCTTCCCTCACTTTTCCCCGGCATTAAGGTCTTTACCCAAGTAGAATATCTGGGGATGGGACACAGAGACGTGTGTTTTTAAGCACTCCAGTTATTCTCTTATGCCCAGCCACATCTACTGGGTACCTCAAGTTTGAGAAGCCCTGATTTCTGGCGGTCAGTTCTGCTGCTTGTTAATGATGTCACCTTGCATAAGTCACTTCTCCTCTTTGGACCTTGGGTTTACTCTGACAATGAGGACTTAAACTGGATGAATCAAGATCCCTTCTGGCCTTGAAATATAATTCAAATGCTAACATGTGTCTTTAAACAGCTGTCACTAATCTACTAATAGGGTGTAATAATACCCGCCCAAGTATGCCAGATGGGTGGAAAGAACAATTTGGTCTGAATGTGTCTGAGGTTTCATTGCTTTGAAAGGGGGATTTTCTTTTCTCTGTTTCCTCATGCCTTAGAAGAACTCGTTGACAAGCTCTGATTCTAAAACTGGAAGTGGACTTTTTCTCTGGTGTTCATCTAGGGTTCAAGTACCCTGCAAAGGAACTGTTTTGATAACTATTTTTTTTTTTGCTCTGTTCGGTTGCTAAGTTGTGTCCAGCTCTTTGCAATCCCAAGGACTACAGCCCACCATGTTACTCTGTTCATGGGATTTTCCAAGCAAGTATACTGGAGTGGGTTGCCTTTTCCTTTTCCAAACTGTTTCTTTACTTCACATTAAATGTAAGTTAGAACATTTCTTGATTTTGGTACTGAGATATTATAAAGTATCTTATGCTGGATATTTTATTTTATAGTGATTTTTAGTCCTACTGAAGATAATTTAGTGTGTTCTAAGTGAAAGCTTAGGCAGGAAGAAATTATGTACTGGATGGAAGCTAGTCTCTGAAATTTTCATGTGTTACTCAGTACTTAGCTTCTTTCATCTAGATATAAAAGGTACAGCAATTGGATTCAGTATATTTCCGTGTGTTAGTATTATTATTTGTTCAACACGCAGTAAATAAACAGTTTTTAAGGAAACAATAGTAATGTTTTACTGACAGCTAATCTTGCTATGTCCAAACAAAAGAAATATATGGAAGAATATTAAAATTGTGTAGTATTAGTGTTCAGTAAGTTTCTGAAAGGAGGAAACTAAATTTTAATTCTAAATTTCTAAGTTATATCATTTAGTTGTGCTTCAGAGAATCTACCACTAAAATATCATCTTCATGAAATCAAGAACCTTTATTATCTTTTTCACCACTGGAAAGCCTGGGCATGTTACACATGGTAGGTGCTCAATACTCTTTAATCTTTAAAACTTTTTCTGAGTTTAATCACAAAAAGTATAGTGAGATTGTCTCTCACAAATAAACTATTTTGCAAGAAAAATTTGAGAACAACTAAATTTGTGATTTCCCCTTTTAAAATCTATTGAAAAATATTACTCTAAGTTATGACTTTTTAAAAGAAAAATATTATCTCCTGTTTAAGCTAGGTTATGGCTAGGTAGTTTGTATCTTATACTACTTCAACAACTGACATTTAGAAATGCTTGTTGTTGCTTAGTTGCTAAGTCATGTCCAACTCTTTTGCAACCCCTTGGACTGTAGCCTGCTAGGCTCCTTTGTCCATGAGATTTCCCAGGCAAGAATACTGGAGTGGTTTGCCATTTTCTTCTCCAGGGGATCTTCCCCACCTAGCGACTGAACCTGCATCTCCTGCTTGGCAGATGGATTCTTTACTGTCTGCGCCACTAAGGAAGACTTTGGGAGTGCTTAATAAATGTCAATTAATAAAGGGGAAAAATGCATTGGTAAAACTTCAGAGTTATCCACAGTGGGGCTGAAATGGTCAGAAAGCAATAAGTGACTTATCTAAAGATTGCAAAAAATCACAGGAGACAAAATAAGAAAGCTTAGTAAAATATGGACTTTTCAAAATAAGAAGGAAAAAATGTGATCAAAACTTGCCCTTCTCAATGAAGTCTGCACACACACACACATAATCACTGCCTTTTAATAGCTTTCCCATTCAGTTTCAAAAGCTATAAGCTATAGTAGATTTGATACATGTTAGAAATGAAACTAGTATTTTCTGTGCCTTGAATTTTTACCTAATTTATGCTCTTACTTTTAACTTTGCTAGTTTCAAGGCACAATTTACCTTTTAACCTGTAGTAAGCACAATTATTTTAAAAGAATAAATTCAGAATGATAAGCAATTGCAGAGAAAATTGATTCCAGCTCTTCAGGATCTATACAACTCAACTATAACATTATTTATAATTGTTCAGGGTTACTCATTAACAATATTTGTTTTATATGTCTCTTGCACACTGTTTCTTTTATGATAACAATCTCTGAATAACAGAACACCTATGAAAAATAAAGAGACAAAATGTACTTCATTGAGAGATAGACCTCAGTCTCCCAAAAGAAGGCGATGATACTGCAAGAAGAATAAAACCTGCTTGTTTCCAGGTCTGTCTAAACGGGTAAAATGTTAACAGTGATTCATGTAAACTTCAGTGTGTATTTTTTCTCAGATCATTCTTAGGAGGTAGGTGATGCCCCAAAATCAGTTTCTTTCATTGAGGTTATTTAAATTAGTACATGCTTTGTATGTCTATAGTTTATTCTTCCCAGAAGCAAATTAAAGACTATCTATTAAGGAAGAAATAAACTTAAGTCTTCTCTGAGGCTTCTTTATTCCTACAGGTTTTCAAAAAATGTCAGTTGCATCCCGTCCTTTTCTGCAATCACCTTTCAAATGGAGAGAGTGTTGGCAAAACGCTTACTATCATTGTTCCTTGCGAGTTGTCAGGGGAAAGTGGAGTTTAGACTTAGAAAGAAATGATAAGGAATGTACATTCCTTTGTTTTCAGTTTTTCCCTTATGGCTCTCTTTTCAAAAATGTGGCCCTTGGGTTTCTTTGAAAAGAATCTCATACTATCACACACACACACACCATTCCTTTGATCTCTAAGAGACTTTACAAAAGATGAGTTGGGGGCTGAGTTAAGGTCTCTGCAGATAAAGGCACATAGGACATATTTGAGGGTGGGGGGAGCATGTTTTAAAGCATTTCTTTGAGAGCCTCCAGCCATTGACACCACCC